CGTTATGTTCACGGCGCCCCCGACCGGGTGCCGGTCCAGCTGCCCACGCCCGGCTCGGGGGTCACTCTGGGTGCCTCCCTCCTGGGGGACTCAGCACGTGTTTAACCTCAGTGGTTCTTGTTCATTAGTTTCAGAGCTGAGGACAGAGGGGCGTTTGCCTTGGGAAACCTCGGAGGGATGGGACGTGGAGACAGTGGCATTTGAGGGAAGGCCCTCTAGCCTCAGCCTGGGGGCCCCTGGCCGGGGCGGGCCATTCCTGGCTCACCCAGGTGGCGCCTGCACCTGGATTTGGCTTCCAGGCGGCATTATGTTATTTTTAAAGTCCTCACTCAAGGAAACTTTGTCCATGGGTTAATATTTTAGGGAGAGTAGAAGGGAGGGAAGCGGGGAGGAGGGGAGAGAGGAGAAGTGGGGGAGAGAGAGAGAAACAGCAGCTGGCTGCCCCCCACATGTGCCCTGACCAGGGCTGGGGGTCAAACCTTGACTGGGAATTAAAGTAGAGACCTTCTGGGGCACAGGCCGGCTCTAACCACTGCACCACACTGCCCAGACGCCTGTTATTTCGTTCTGCATAGTTTCTAGGAGCCCAGAAACCAGGAGCCTGGAGGAAGCTTGCCCTGCTTGGGCCTCTGCCTCCAGCCCCTGCCTCCTGAGGGGGGTCGGTGGGGGACTAGCCCTCCCCCAGGCTCAGCTGCAGGTACCTGGGGGGTGAGGGGTGGGAGGGGCTTGCCCTCCCCTAGGCTCAGCTGCAGGTAATGGGCACTTCCCTCCGCTGCTTGTAGAGCAGCCGCCTCACCTGTGTTTCCATAGTAACAGGACCTGCTGCTGGGGTTGTAGCAGCAGCCCAGCGCCTTGCAGGCCCGGGGAGTGGCGGGAGCCGGGGCGCAGGGCAGCCTGTCCCCCACGGGGACCGAGTCGCACAGGTGAGCGCCCAGTGCGTCGAGGCCTAGACGGTGGGGAGCAGAGCAGCCCGAGCTGGTGACAGAGCCGGGGCTCTGGGAGCCACTGCTCGAACGTTCCCGTTGGTCTCCCTGTCCCGCCCGCGGCGAGGTCTCGGGAATGAGGCCCATGGAAGGCACCTGGGAGAGGCCCTGAACTCAGCCCTTTCTGAGGAATACGGTCTAACGAGACCCCTAGAAGCAGGGGGTTCCTTACCCTCCTGCAGGGAAAGGTTTCTCCCGTGGGGGTGCCCTCCGCCCAGGCCCCCGTTCCTGCAGCCTCTCGGACCTGCAGCGGCCGGGGCGGCAGATCAGCGTGGTCTGGGGGGCCTGTCACCCCGTTTTATCAGCGTTGCCCCTTTAGACCACGGGCTGCACCCCGGCCTCAGGTGGAGGTTATCTGAGGATGTGCGTGGGGGGAGGGGCCTTCACGAGTGACAGGTGTCACTCACCGCGCAGGTGGGCCTGGCCCGGCACGTACCTGGGAGGCCGACAGGGCACTTGAGCAGCT